GGCCCTCTCTTTCGACATGTGAAGTTTCCAACCATTTCTGCTCAACAATTGGTTAGGGTTTTGGCCCATTTCACATCTTTTCCCCTTCTTTATTTTTAGCCTAAAAAAAAAGAAGAAGAAAACAGAGCCCAGTCCACCAAAATAAAAGGACAAAAAAAAAAAAAAAAAAAAAAGAGAGTAGGCACTGCCGCACCGTACAATTGCCAGAAGCCAGGGAATCACTGGATTCCGGCCAAGTTCCGACCTAGCTCTGCAGTTTCCGGTAACAAATTCAAGAAAAATTTCAGAAATTTTCTTAAAAAAATTAAGAAAACAGATTCTAATCTAAACCAAGCTCAACGGAGCTTTTCTACATGATTATTTCATAATTTCAACTTCTAAATAAATAAATAAATAAAAAGAATTCTCAATCATCAACAACCACCAATCGCAATTTCAATATAAAATTACAATAAATTTAACAACAAACTCGATTTCTAATCCAATATCAATATGTGATTTACATAAAATGAACTGAAGCTGAAAATCCCTAAAGTCGGCAATAACGTTCAGATCCCGAAACCAAATTCGAACTTGCCTTTTGCCTTGGATTCCTCAAACCCGAAAATTCCAGTACTCTCTGAACTTACAGAATCCTTTTTTCACGCTCTATGTTTTTTTTCTTCGTTTGCCTTCTTCTTCTCCTCTTCGTTCCCCCCTTCTGCTCCCCGAAAACCTTCTTTTATAGGCAAAATCCGAGGAGGTTGAAACAGAGCCCCAGTCATCCTATTACCTTCTCTCAATCTCAACTGTTCTTCACCCTCGATCTGCCGCCTACCTACACCCCCTAGATTCCCTGCAGCCTGCAAGTTGATCCAAGCGCGTGAGATGTAGGAAATGAACAGCTGATGTGTCTCCAAACCTTGCAACCTGATAGGAGGAAAAGGGCGGTGGAAGTAGGGGATGAGTTTTTCTCACATGGGATGGAAAGGAGAAGTGATGAATGAGGGAGGAAGGAGGAGGAAGGAATCCCCTCTGGTCTCTGCCCTTGCCGCCCGCGGCCACCCATCCTCTACAAGCGGGCATATTTGTTTTTCGCCCTGCACCAAAGCGACTTCGTTTAGGATTTTTTTTTTGTGATTTAGTTCATAAGTTTCATCTTCCTGACACTTTAGTCCTTCATTTTAATCTTTATCACGATTAAGTCCCTGCAAAACAAAACACAGATTTGAATGTTTTTCATTCAGTACAAAATGACATTAATTTAATTTAAGATGGATTTTCCTTTTACAAATCTTTCGCATTAATTTCTCACGTCACCTTAAAACTGAAAATTTTTGAAATTTCACTTAAAAGTTAAAATTTTATGAGAAATAAAAATTTTTTAAATTTTGAGATATTTTTAAAAATAAATCAAATAAAATCAAGTTATAAGAAGTATTGGATAGTAACTAGGAGTTGGGAACTTGAGAGAGACTGAGGAAAGGTGTTGTGAGGTGTAGCTGGGCGTGGGATACAATTGATGGTGTAGCATGGCTAGTGATGGTGCAGTCTACGATGGGGTGTTCTGGAGATAAGAGTTTGA